TCTCCTCCTCCATCTCCTCCTCCTCCATCTGCTCCTCCATCTCCTCCTCCTCCATCTCCTCCTCCTCCATCTCCTCCTCTTCCATCTCCTCCTCTATCTCCTCCTCCTCCATCTCCCCCCCCATCTCTGTAATTCTCCAGGTTGCATATTATGCAGTTTACTGGCTCATTCTTGCTGGGGAGGCAAGAGGTCTGGCTACAACAGCTACAACAACTCCCCTTCCTCCGTTTCCCCAGGAGGAAAGATGGTGGCCCCTAAGGCTGCTGCAGACAGGGCAGGAGAAGTCTGGGTTTGGAGCTGGGTGGGGAGGTCATTCTGTCATGTAGATGTCCCTGGGAGGAGCAGTGGGGAGTGGGGTCCTCCCTGGGAAACGGGCACAGGCAAGGATGAGACCGTGAAGGAGACCAAGCAGGGAAGGGAAAAACACCTCAAACACTGTCTGAAACAGAAAAAGTATATAGATGTAGCATGAGAAAAAAAAAAAGATAGCTGGGAGCCAGGTGTGGTGGTGCACGCCTGTGATCTCAGCACTCTGGGAGGCTGAGGCGGGAGGATGCTGAGTTGGAGCCCAGCCTGGGCAACTTAGTGAGACCCTGTCTCAAGAGTAAAAAAAAAAGTTTTGAAAAAGGACTGAGGCTATAGGTCAGTCCACAGGCACTCAGTTTAGTCCTCAGTAGTACCAGAAAAAAATAAGTATCTAGGGCAGTGGACCCTGGAGTTACACCCCACCTGACATATGAACAACTTGGATTTTGACTGGAATTTTAGTTTTCACTTACAATCAACTTCTTGAGTTATAACCCGAGGGCTGGCCGCTTGTGCTTCCAGATGGGCTGAGATACAGAATGAACTCTAAAGAGCTGGGGAAGGAACAGGACAGCAGCCTCTCCCATGTGGGGCTCACTGAGAAATCCTGGGCTGGGGTCTCTCAGGACCCTGAGCTCTGCCTGTGGGCAGGAGGGAGACTCTGAAGGCTGTGGAAGGGCTGAGCCTCCACTGACTGACCTGAGTTACAACCAGCCCTGGGGAACAGGTTGCATTCCTAAGTCAGGGGTCCACTGTATGATTCATGTCAGAGGTCTTCCTTCATCTGGAAACGTTTTCATGGGTTGCAGTCCATAGATTATTTGGGGGCTTTTGCAGAAGGTAGACTGTGTAATGTATAGGAAAGGCTGCATTTCACTTAAGAATATTATTCCTGAAGAGCGATCATGCGTTGCTTAGTTAATGGGATCCATTCTAAGAAATACATCACCAGGAGGTGATTTATATCATGTGGCAATGCACTAGAGTGTGCTTACAAAAGTCAATGTGGATTCTTCATGGGATCAAGAGACACGGCAGGCAGGGCATAATGGCACAAGCTTACAATACCGGCGTTCTGGTAGGCTGAGCAGAAGGATTGCAAGTTGGAGCTCAGTCTGGGCAGCTCAGTGACTCAGCGAGATGTAGTCACAAATGAAAAAGGGCTGGGGAAGGAGCTCAGTGTGAAGGTCCTGGGTTCATTCCCCAGTACCACCAAAAGGAAAGAGAGAGAGAGAGGGAAGGAGGGAGGGAGGGAGGGAGGGAGAGAAACAGAGACAGTGGGGCCGCTGCAGGCATAACCCAGCATGCTGCTTCATTTGGTTGTTTTTAATAAGGAGGAGTACACCCTAGGGCGCATGCCTGTCATCCCAGCACTGTAGGAGGCTGAGGCAGGAGGATCACAAGTTCAAGCCTGGGCTGGGCAACTTGGTGACTTCCTGATATCCTGTCTTAAATTGTAAAACATTAAAAGAAGAGCTGGGGATGTAGCTGAGTACAAAGACCCTGGGTTCAACCCCCAGTTCTGCATCAACTGAACAGGCTGAGACTGAGTCATAGGGGAAGCCACAGCAGGCGACCTAAGTGTGTCCTTGCCCCATCTGGGACACACCAGGGGCGAGGGTCCGAGGACCACTCAAAGACACAGCGAGCTGCACCTGCGTCCTTTGTCCGGCTCCCTCTCAGGTGCCTGTCTGCTCTTGTATTTCAGGAATCCTAAAGTGCAAGAAAGACAAAGCCTATGCAGGCGGCCAGTGGTGCACTACCTGCTCCAGTCCCAGGCAGCTCCGGAAGCAGGAAATCCTCAAGCTGCCCAACGTGCCCTGTGTCAAGCCCTCCATAGAGTCCCCTCTGAAGCAGAACCGCAGCTGGGTGCAGGAGGAGGAGGAGGAGGAGGAGCAGGACCAGGAGGAAGAGCAGCCCTGGGACGGCCAGCTGGCCCTGGACGACTCATCCCCCGCATCCCGGTGGAACATCTCCCTCAACATGACGGACGAACATGGCAACACAGTGCTGTTGTTCTGCGACATCAGGAAGCCCACAGGGCTGCCCAGCATCAGCTTGAACCAGACGGAACCCCCCGAGATCGACGTCAATGCCACTGTCGCGTTGGACTTCGAGTGTCCCATGACCCGGGAGAACTATGAGAAGCTCTGGAAGCTCATCGCCTACTACAGCGAGGTCCCCGTGACGCTGGCCCAAGAGGTCCTGCTCGGCAGGGACTCAGGCGTGAGCCACCAGTACCACCAGGACCCCAACGCCAACCCCGACGCCCTGTACTACACAGGGGTCCGGGCCCAGATCGAGGCCTGGCCCACGTGGGTCCTGCAGCCGTCCATCCACATCCAACTCAATCGGCGCTCCAGCACTGCCAAGAAGGTCATCCTGTCGTATTCTGCCCGGTACTCACAAACCATATCAGCCAAAGACACCGTGCAGGCTCGGAGTCCAAGCTGGGTCATGATCGAGCCCAGCAGTGGGATTCACAGAGCCCAGACTTTCCTGGAAGGGGAAGCCGGCCAGCTCAGCTGCCACGTGAAGGCCTCCGAGAGCCCGTCCATCTCCTGGGTGCTTCCCAACGGCTCCGTCCTCAGGGCGCCCATGCAGGAGCAGGGCAGCAGGTTCTCTGTCCTCAGCGGTGGGTGGCTGAAGATCAGGACAGTGGAGCAGTCGGATTCAGGCTTGTACCAGTGCATTGCTGAAGTGCCGGATGAGGTCGACCAGATGGCTTTCCGGGTGCTCGTCCAGGTCCCCACTGTTCAGCCCCCTGAGGGCTCCATGGTGAGCATTGAGAAGGACGCGGGAGAGCCCGTCATGCTCCCGTGTAGCGCCTCAGCTGTCCCAGAAGCCCATCTCAGTTGGATTCTCCCCAGTAAGAGGATCATCGATGGCTCGGCTAACGCGTCCCACGCGTACATGTGGGCCGATGGGAGTCTTTCCATCCCCAGCGTGCAAGTCAGCCACGCCGGCTACTACAGGTGCGTGGCCGTCAACCTGCATGGGGCTGACCATGTCACCGTGGGGCTCACGGTGAGGAGGAAAGGAGCCGGGCGATCGGGAAAGAGAGGGAGACGCCCAGGCAGGCCCCGAGCTGACTCCAGACCTCGGGGAGACATTGTGGAAGATGAAGGAGGCTCCGGAGTGGGAGGTGATGAGAGCCCATCCGGGAGGACGCTGCACCCAAAGGACCAAGAAGTCTTCATCAAGCCCGAGGGTGAGGCCACCCTGGGGGATAAGGTGCCTCAGAAAGGGAGGAGGAAACTGAAACTCTGGGGGCCTTCGGAGGAGAAAGACCTGGAGAGCAACGTTGCCGAAGGTCGCAGGGTGTTCGAGTCCCGGCGCAGGATCAACATGGCCAACAAGCAGATCAACCCAGAGCGCTGGGCGGACATCTTGGCCAGAGTGCGTGGGAAAAATCTCCCCAAGGCCACAGAAGTGCCCCAGGACATTGTCACCACCATGCTTCCATCCGAGAGTCCAGAAGGGATGTCCCTGTCCCCAGTGATTTCTCTGCTGGCTGTGTCTCCCATGCAGGCAGCCCCGGATCCAGAGGAGTCCTCGGCACAGGGGTCTCTCTTTGGTGAGGAGGAGCGGGTTGCAAGTACCATCTCCTCCCCAGGGATGCGACAAGAACACAGCCACGGTGGAGCTCTTCTCCCCAAGCCGCAGGTGACAAGCCCCCGTCTGGATGACAGAGTGATTGGAGAGGATTTGCTGGAGACAACCGAGGATCTGTCTCCAGCTGCAGTTGACCTCCAGTGGGAGCTGGCCACCTCCCCTGGACCTGAGGCTTATGAAACATCTACTCCGAGGACCTCAGAAGAGCCCATCGGTGACCAGACAGCCACGGAGGCTTGGTCTCCTCCAGCAGACGTTGACCGCATCCCAAAACCCAGAAGAAATGAGGAAGAGCCTCCACTGGATGAGGTCTCCTTGGCTGAGTCCCAGAGGGTGAAGTCTGTTCACCCAGATGGGGAGACGTATTCACAACCGGATGTGGTGGAGACTTTGGAAGACCACCCACTCATTCCTCCCACCACCGCCGTGAGGGTGGAGGTCTCAAGTGTGCCACAGTCACTTGAAGAGCATTTAGAGGAGCAGGATGTCCCAGCCTGGTCAAGTGTGGAAGAAAAACCAGACAGTACCAGGAGAGTGGAAAATCGCCGGACCACTCAACGGACTCCATCTAGAAAGAGAGTCACAAAGAAGAAGTTTCTGGGGGAGACCCCCACCTCCAGACGTCGTGAGAGTGAAGAGCAAGACACCGGGCACACCACTCTGAAAGCGATGAGCACTGCCTCTCCCTTTGCGCAGCCCTGGGCCACCACACGGGGAACACTGCCGGCCGGAGGTGTCACCACACAAGCCAATAAGACACCAAGCCGGATGACCACTCCACCGCCAGCGCTGCCCACCCAGCCCTCCCGAAGGAGGCCCAGTGGACGGAGGAAACTGCGCCCCCATAAATCTCGCCAACGCCAGAAACCAAGCCCCCCAGCAGTCTCCGCCTCCACGGACACATCATCTCCCTCTCCACCTTCTCCACTGCCTGCAACGAAGACCCCAAAGCAAGCCCAGAGTTCCCCGGTTCCCACCTCTTGGGTAGACAACACGGCTCACGTTACTAAGCAGCTGGACCCAGAGAAGCCTACAGAATCCATATCCAGGGGAACCACACGGAGAAGAAATGGGAAAAGGCCCAATAGACATCGATTTAGCACCACGGCTACGGTGAGCTCGAAGATGCCTGTGTCCAAGCCCAGCCCTCTTGAAACTCCGCATGAGCCAGCCATCACTTCCGGTTCAGAAACTCGACTTCCGCCTCTGGAAACTGGAGAGACAGACATGGTGACGAGGCGGAAGGATTATGCGACAGCCACCCCGGAAACACCTACAGCTTACCACAGAGTCCACGTGACGACTCCGGTCCCTTTCCAACCTGGAGCAGGTCGAGAAGAACTGACGGATCACGACTTCACCCACGCCGATAGTGGTGGGAACGACACACGGCTGCGCAGTGAGCTGCTCAGGGAGGGGTTCTCAATGCCTGATCCCTTGGTCCCCACTGTGGGGGAGTCCAAAGAGGCGTCTCTTCCTGTGGCTCTTCCCGGAAGTCCAAGCTGGCCTCTCCCCAGGACGGCCCTGCCTGGGGAACCCAGTACAGACACTCCCGGGCCCGGCTTAAGGGAAGACCCTGCAGACTCACCGCTCTTCAGAGAGCTGGAAGCGGTCGCTGCTACTTCCCAGTTTGCACCTTCTGCCTCGCTCTTCGCCTCCGTTCCACAGGGAAAAACTGGGGCTCCCACCACCTTTTCCAGCGCAGAGGTCGAGCTGTCTCGAAGTCTGGCAGAAACCACCACCGCTGGTTGGGAACCCCGAGAAGGCACAGTGGCCCACGTCCCTTCTGAAACGTGCTCACAGAAGCCCATCCCCACGCCGGGCCGGGTGGAGGAGCAGGCCACCGCCTTCCCACCCACGGCACCTGCATCGTTAGCAACCACCACCCTGAAGCCAACTCCCATCACCCCAGGGACGCCTCCAACATGGGCCGGTCCCAAGGAGAACATTTTCTTGAATTTTGTGGGAAATCCAGAAACCAAAGCGCCGGTAGAGAACATAGGGGGATCTCAGCATAGATGGAGACCTGAAGAGTTGTCCACCCCTTCTCACAACCAGAACGGATTCGATTTATCTCCAGAGCAAGAGTTGGCAGAGGAACGTGACAACAGGAGGACAAACAGCCTACTGCATGGGCCGGAGAGTCACCTTCCACGTGAGAGAGTCCACACTGCCCGCCCACTGGCCGGAGACCCCACAAAACCCACCCCGCCAAGGGGGTCGCTGAGGCCACCGCTCAGGGCCACGGAAAGCCCCCTTAGATACTTTGGGACATTCCAGCCACCCCACCACTTCACCAGCAAACTGGAAATCACTGCCTATCCCTCCAGGGTTTTCCCAGACAGCAAACAGTTCATGATTCCACAATTACCCAGCATGAAGCCAGCTGCCCCGACGCACCCATCCAAACCCAGTATCTCCAGCAGGTTGCCTGACCAAAGCACAAACCGATTCAATGGGTACTCCAAAGTGTTTGGAAATAATAACATCCCCGAGCCAAGGATTCCAGTCCACCAGCCTGCAAAGCCCAGACTTCCTTATGATTCCAATGGGAGATTCCCTTTCTTCACCAACAGGACCTTCTCATTCCCACAGCTGGGAGTCACCTTGAAGCCTTGGACGTCCACCTCCCCAGCCCCAGTAACAAGAGAAAGAAAAGTCACCCCTGCTCCCTACAATAGGTTTCCTTCCCAGAGCTTTCTCCACGTGGATTTGGGGCCTCCAGCACCCCCAGTGTTGCAACCGCCCCGGACCATGCCACCACCTTCAATTTACTTTCAGAAGGTCCCTCTGGTCCACACCACGCAGAGCTCTATCTTCCCCATGACGTCTGCCAGCCAATCCCCTGGAAGCTCTCATCACAGCAGCCTGAAGATCTTTGTTGGAGGACCACCTGCTCCCAACTTCTGGACGCTTGGAGAAAAGCCCCAAATCATCACCAACCCCCCCCAGACTCTCTCTGTCACTGCCGAGACGGACGCCCTGTTCCCCTGCGAGGCGACGGGGAAACCCAAGCCCTTCATCACCTGGACAAAGGTTTCCACAGGTAAGATACTGAAGCATGCAGCACGGTCAAGGGGTGACCTTGGGAATCATATCTGGTCTCCGGCCACTTCGTCTCTAGCACCACCTCTGCTTCCCGACCACCATGATGTGAGCATCTTTCCTCCTCCCCCCGCCTATCCATCATGATGTCCCTGCCTTGCAGTAGCCAACCATGGACTGAACCCTCTGAGACCGTGAGCCCGAATTAGCTTCTCCTCCTCGAAGTTGTAACCATGGTGACTGGAGTCTGATCCCCAGGGAGGAGCAGCCACACTGGGGGAATGAAAAGCTTGATGGGATGGAAAGACAGGACTGAGAACTTAGCACCAAGCCCAGTGCTTTCTTTTTCTCTCCTCTCCTCCGCCTCCCTCTTCCCTCTAAGTACTCTCCTTTCTGCAGCTAGGACAGTATGAGATTTTTCTCCTACTGTTTTTGTACACAGAACACGTAAGATTTATTCTATTAGCAGTTTTCAGACTTGAAGTATATCGTTATTGACTATGGTTATCCTGGGTAGACTCTACCTCTGGAATTTATTCCTCCCGTCTTCCGAAGTTTGTAGCCTGAGACCAAGATCTTCCCAGTTATCCTTCTGTCTGTCTTCAAGCTCCTGGTAAACACCATTCTAGGTCTCTTTTCCTATGAATTCGACTTTTTTAGTTTCCCTCCACAAGTGAGACCACGCAATATTCCTCTTTCTGTTCCTGGCTGGTTTCACTGAACATGACATTCTCTAGCTTTCTCCATGCTCTTACAAATGGCAGAATTTCCTTCTTACTCATGGCTGAATGTATTCTGTCATGGACACGTGCCACATTGTCTTTATCCATTCATCTATGGATGGGCACTAGGTTGATTCTGTATCAAGGCTACTGTGATCACTACTATGATACATATGAGACCAAATCTGTCTCTTCAACATACTGACTTCGTTTCCTATATATAGGCAGAGAAGGGGTGGCTGCACTGTAGGGCAGTTCTATGTTTAATTCTTCAAGAAACTTCAATACCTTTTTTAATAAGGACACTACCATTCACATTCCCACCAGCAATGTGTGCAAGACTTCTTTCCCCATAGTCTCACGGTATTGATCACTGTTGGGATAATGTAGCATCTGATGCCCACAACTTAGAGGAGGAGATGTTAATTTTGGCTCATGGTTTCAGATGGTTCCATCCACAGTCGGCTGCCCTAATAGTTTCAGAAGGTACAGTCCATGGTCAGCTGCTCCAATGATCTCAGAGGGTTCAGTCCATGGTTGGCTGCTCCAGTGGTCTCAGAGGGTTCAGTCCATGGCCAGCTGCTCCCGTGGTCTCAGAGGGTTCACTCCATGGTCGGCGGTTCCAGTGGTCTCAGAGGGTTCACTCCATGGTCGGCGGTTCCAGTGGTCTCAGAGGGTTCAGTCCATGGTCAGCTGCTCCAAGACAGGGGCATCATGGGCAGTGATCATTGAGGAGGAAAGATGCTCACATGATAATCAGGAAGCGGGGTGGGGGTACAAGAGGGAAAGTGGCCACAATCAGACATAGCCTCCTAAATCATGCCTTGGTGACCGACCCAGACACATTCAGATACATGCTTTAGTCACCTCCTAGGTGTCTCTCAAACCAACCCAGATGAACCAGCAGCACGCACTGACCAGCACTTTCTGTCATTCATCTTTTTCATGGTAGCCCTTCTCACCTGAGTGATGTTATCTCTGTTTGTGGCTTAATTTACCTCTCCCTGATGGTTTAGCCAGGAAACCTTTTCTCTCTCCTATTTGCTTTTGCAACTTTGAGCAACCAGAGGAGCATATGGTGATCCTAGCATAATGGCACACACCTATGATCCCACCCCGCCGGGAGGCTGAGGAAGGAGAATCCCAAGTTTGAGTCCATCCTGGGGAACCCTGGCTCAAAACATAATATAGAAAAGGGGCTGGGGATGCAGTTCAGTGTGAAGGTCCTGGGTTCAATCCCTTCCACTGCAAAGGGAGAAAATCGTTGCAGTACATAATGCTCACATTTCTTGTGTGGAGTTGGCACATGTGCACATCACATCCTAATTCTTTTTGCATCCCTTTTCTTTCCCTCCCTCCCTTCCCTCCATTTCCTGGTTCTGCTCCCCTTTGAGAAAGACCCATCTCCCTACTTCCCAGTATCTACCTTTTATATTGCTCTTTATTTGTACAGTGGGTTTCTCATAGAAGAGAAACCATGTGATATTTGAACTTGTGTGTCTGATTTTCTTCACTTAACATGGTCTCATAGTGCATCCATTTTTCTACAGATGACTCAAGTTTGTCCTTCTTTATGGCAGAATAGTACTCCATTGTGCATATACACATCACTTTTCCCTTATCCATTCATTTGCTGATGGACATAAAGGCTGCTTCCAGGGTTCAGCTACTGTGAGCTGTGCTGCTAAAAACACGGCTGTGCGTGGATCTCTGTGAGATGATGTCTTTAACTCTTTCAGGAAGATGCTTTAAGGGGGAATAGCTGGGTGGAATTGAATGTCTCCTACTAGTTTTTTGAGGAATCTCCATGCAGATTTGCACAGACATGCGGTAATAAAAATAAAAATGAGAAATGAGATGCTTTCAGCAGTCACTCCGGTGTGGCGTGGCTCACGTTCACCTTGCTTGCGTTTGTTCTCCCCTGCCAGGTGCCCTGATGACCCCCAACACCCGGATCCAGCGCTTCCAGGTCCTGAAGAACGGGACCCTGCTCATCCGAAGGGTACAGGTGCAAGACCGAGGCCAGTACGTGTGCACGGCCAGCAACCTGCACGGCGTGGACAGGATGGGGGTCCTGCTCTCCGTCTCGGTGCTGCAGCCCGAGATCCTGGCTCCTCAGTTCCAGGACGTCACCGTCTACTTGGGGGACACCATTGCCATGGAGTGCCTGGCCAAGGGCACCCCCGCCCCCCGGATTTCCTGGATCTTCCCCGACCGGAGGGTGTGGCAGACCGTGTCGCCCGCGGAGGGCAGGGTCACCCTGCACCAGAACCGCACCCTGTCCATCAAAGACGCGTCCTTCGCGGACAGAGGTGTGTACAAGTGCCTGGCCAGCAACGCGGCTGGGGCGGACAGCCTGGCCATCCGGCTGCACGTGGCCGCGCTGCCCCCGGTCATCCAGCAGGACAAAGCCGAGAACATCTCTCTGCCCCCGGGGCTCAGCATCCACATCCACTGCTCGGCCAAGGCCAAGCCCCCGGCCAGCGTGCGCTGGGTGCTGCGGGATGGGACCCAGGTGAGGCCGTCGCAGTTCCTCCACGGCAACCTCTTCGTCTTCCCCAACGGGACGCTGTACATCCGCAACCTGGCTCCCAGGGACAGCGGGCGCTACGAGTGCGTGGCCACGAACCTGGTGGGCTCGGCGCGCAGGGCCGTGAGGCTCAGTGTGCAGCGCACGGCGGCCGGCGCGCGCATCACCAGCGCATCCCCGAGGCGCACGGACGTCAGGTACGGGGGGACCCTGCGCCTCCACTGCAGCGCCTCGGGGGACCCCTGGCCGCGTATCCTGTGGCGCCTGCCGTCCAAGCGGATGATCGATGCGCTCTTCAGGTAGGGTGGCCTCTCTGGGCCTTGGGGAGCCGGGGGGCGGCGTGGGGCCCAGGTCCTCGTCAGTCCACAGGAGTCCGCGCAGACGCGGGCCACGTGGGAGCTGTTGAGCACAAGGAAACTTTGTCACTGATTTGCCCAGCTCGGGGGCGCGCGCCGGGCATCCCAGGAAGCTGGTGGGCTGAGGCAGGAGGATCGCAGATTCCAGCCCAACCCGGGGAACGTAGCGAGACCTTGCCTCAAATTCTTAAACCAAAAATAAGTGAGCAAGTAAATGCAAAGTTAAATCAATTGATCCATCAGTAGAGGAAGATTTTTACAAGGCCTGGGGATGTAGTTCTTTGGAAAGGTCCTGGGTTCAGTCTTCGTTAATGCTGAAAACAACAACAAAAAAGAGATCTAGGACATAACATTGGCATTTTTCAGGCTGGCAAGGTGGCACACGCCTGTCATCCCAGCATTTGGGAGGCTGAGGCAGGAGGATCACCATGAATTTGAGGCCAGCCTGGGCTACACAGTGAGTTCAGGGCCAGCCTGAACTGCAAAGGGAAACTCTGTCTCAAAAGACTAACAAAACCCCAAAACCCCCCCAAAATGGCATTTTCCCTTCTCTGGGTGACTAGACACACACACACACACACACACACACACACACACACACACACACACACACAGAGGATGAAATGAACTAATAAGACACTTGCTTAAAATGGTTACATTTGGGGGCAGACAATGTAGCTCAGCAGTACAAAATTTGGCTAAGAAGTCCTAGTTCCAGCCTCACAAAAAAGGAAAGAAGGGCCAAAGACAGACAGACAGACAGAAAAGAAATAGACACAAGAGAAACAAAGACATAAGAGAAAGAAAGAAAGGTGAGAAGAAAAACAGACAAAAGGGTATGTTTTAGCTTCAGAGAATAGCGGATAAAGTGATGAAGCAATTTAGTTGACCTTCCTGTGCCATTAGCAGCAAAATACGCCGCAGTTTCAGGTCTTGCTCTGCAATGGCCTTCACCATGCAGTGAAAGCAGGGGAACCAGAAGCAAAGGGTCCCGAGAGGAAGCTTAGAATCAGCAGCTGCATTTGGGCAGTGAAGGAAGCCACTTTGGTAAAGTGCGCCCGGCCCAATGCCAGCTACAGAGGTTGGGGTGGTGATTCTCAGCCAGGGCTGATGGTGCCCGTAGGACACACTTGGCAATGTCTGGGCTCCTTTCCTATGGTCACACGGGGTGGAGCTGCCAGGAGCTGGGGCTCAGAGAGGCTGCTCAGCGCCCTCCACTGAACAGCGGAGGACCCTCGGCCCAGATGCCCACAGGGAGGGATTGTAACCTCCTTCCTTCCCTGCTTCTTCTCTCTGCATGTCATGTACCATTTATTAGTCATGCAGGCATTCTATCTACCTATCTGTCTATCTATCTATCTATCTATCTATCTATCTATCTATCTATCATCATCATCATCATCATAGCATCATCTCTCTGCCTATCCACTTCTGGCTGCCATCTATTTACATCTATCTATCAATCTGTACACATCTATCTCAAAATTAGTAGCTCTCTCCATCTCTTCCTCGAAAATCCACCCATTTATCCTTCCATTCATTCATCATATCTGTGTATCTGTATCTATCATCTACAATGCATTTCTATCTGCCACCTATTCACATCTATCTCTCTAACAAAAATTAAAATCTCTTCTCCATCTCCAATCCATGCATGCATGCATGCATCCATCTACCTATCCACCCATCCATCCACCCACCCATGCATCCATCCATTCATCCATCCACCCACCCATCCACCCATCCATCCATCCACTCACCAATCCATGTACCCATCCACCCACCTATCCATGCACCCATTTACCTGCCCATGCAACCACCCATCCATCCATCCATCCATCCATCCACCCATCTACCCACCCATCCATCCATTCACCCATCCACTCACCCATCCACCCACCCATCCATGCACCCATCTACCTGCCCATGCAACCACCCATCCATCCACGCATCCATCCATCCATCCATCCACCCATCCA